TTTGTTGTATAAGACTTATTTTCCACATTGATTTGAAGTACCAATTTAATCATATATTACATTATTAGATATATATGTTTGTTTGTAGAATGCTCATTTTATTTCATTGATGTACTTGATTATTTCTGTGCTGGTGTCATGTTGGTTTAATTGATGAGACTGTATAATGGATTTAAATTTTTTAATATTTTATAATGGATTTTGACATTTAAATAAATAAAATCTGCATAAAAAAATAAGGAAGGAACTCCTACCTTTTGCAACAACATGGATGGAACTGGAGAATATTATGCTAAGTGAAATAGGCCAGTAGGTGAAAGACAAATACCATATGATCTCACCACTAAGTGGAATCTACTCAACAAAATAAACTAACGAACAAAATAAACCACAGGCACGGAAACATGGAGCAGACTGAAAGTGAACAGAGGGGATGGGGAAGGAGGACAATGGTGGAAAGAAGGGGAAGGGACTAAAGAAAGAAAATGTATGAATGACCCATGGACATGGACAACAGAGTGGGAACTGACTGTGGGAGAGGGGGGCGGGGTGGGATGGGTGGAGGAGAGCAAAGGGGGAAAAACTGAGACAACTGTAACAGAATAAACATGATTAAAATTAAAAAAAATAAAAAATAAAAATAATAATATACAGGGAACCAACAGTAAAGGGAAGGAAACCGGGATTCAAATCAATGATTGGGAGCAGAAGGAAAGATAACATTCATCTAGAACAGAATGAAGAAACAAGAATTCGAAAAAATGAGGAGAGGTTTAGGAACCTCTGGGACAACTTGAAACATTCCAACATCTGAATCATAGGGGTTCCAGAAGGAGAAGAGGAATAGCAAGAAATTGAAAACTTCTTTGAAAAAATAAGGAAGGAGAATCTGGCCAAGGAAATAGACTCCCAGGAGATCCAGGGAGCTCAGAGAGTCCCAAAGAAGTTGGACCCAAGGAAGCACACACCAAGGCACATCATAATTACATTACCCAAGATTAAAGAGAAGGAGAGAATCTTAAAAGCAGCAAGAGAAACGGAGACAGTTACCTACAAAGGAGTTCCCATAAGACTATCAGCTGATTTCTCAAAAGAAACCTTGCAGGCAAGAAGGGGCTGGCAAGAAGTATTCAAAGTCATGAAAAGCAAGGACCTACATCCAAGATCACTCTATCCAGCAAAGCTCTCATTTAGAATGGAAGGGCAGATAAAGTGCTTCCCAGATGAGGTCAAGTTAAAGGAGTTCATCATCACCAAGCCCTTATTATATGGAATGTTAAAGGGACTTATTTAAGAGAAAGCAGATCAAAAACTATGAAGGGTAAAACAGAGGAGAGAGGGAAGGGGAGTATTGGGGGGAAAGGTACAGGGAATAAGCAGCATAAATAGTAGGTACAAAATAGGCAGGGGGAGGTTAAGAATAGAATACCCTTCATCAGGGGCAGAGAGCCCACATTTCCCTACCCTTTCAACACTTCCCCAAAGAAGTCCTAGGAAATGGAGAAGCCAAAGCACTTATATGTAGAACCCATGGACATGAAATAAGGTGGGGGGGAACAGTGGGATGAGGGACGGTGCAGGGTGGAGGGGAACAAAGGGGAGAAAAAAACTGGACAACTGTAATAGCATAATCAATAAAATATATATAAAGTGCTTTTGTTTATAGCCAAAAATCCAGACGGGGGGGTGGACAACAAATACCCTCTTGAGTCACAGTCAACTCCAAGGAGTTTTCATCATGGGGCCAGGAGAGCCCACATTTCCCTCAGCCCCTGTTGTTTCAGGAGAGCTGGATCTGGAGCCCTGTTCCCCATTATTGAGCAGCCGTGGGCAAGTCACTTAGTAGCTCTGGCTGCTTCATACCTGTGCTACTTCCTGGGGCTGCTGGGATGACAGCCCAGGGGAGAGCACTGCCAGGTGGGTACACAGCACATACAAAGGGCACACACTGCAAATGAAATCTCATACCCTGCTGTATCCCCAACTTGTGAATTGTAAGGCTACTGCTTCTTCGTGAATTAATCAGGGGTTAGGATTCTCCTCAGACCCCACCCAGGGAAACCCATCCATGCTTTTCTACTGCCTTCCACCTTCCCTGGCCTCTATTTCTCCTTGAAAGAAAAATGCAGACACTGGAATAGATCTGAACTCAGACTGAATCAACACTTATTGAGCATAATATGTATCTAGCACGTTCACAGTTTTTACTGGACCCTCATAACATCCCGTTGTGGTAAAAATAGATGGTACTGGATCACCCAGTAGACAGACCACACAAGGGCTCATGGCACCAATAGACCAGGTGCACCAAAAAGGTGATGAGAAATGTCTTCTGGAAACACATCATAACTGCTTTCATGGAAAGAATCAGAATGTCACGGGACTTCCTTAGCTTGCATTACATGGTTTCGTACTTTGCCTAACATTAGGGAATCCTAGTCTTGGCAGCATATATAGGGGGTCCAGGTCTTCATCTGGCCTGGGTGTTGTTTTTCACCTATCACAGGGGTAGCAAGTGAGGCTCTGAGAAGCCAAATGCCTGTCACACAGCTTGGAGTCACTCGGGCCTCCTGTGTGGCCTGCCAAATCTGGGCATTTCTGGTCCCAGGATCCCACCATGTCAGGGCCTGCTGACTCACAGAGTAGCAGTAAGTGGGGGGAGGTCTGCAGGATCAGGAGTGACCAGACCTGCACATCTCTAGATGGTTGGCCCTCTCAGCGAGAGGTTCTGCCCCAGGCCCCAGCCCAGTAACCCCTGTCTTCCCAGAACTGCATTAAACTGCAATGCAGGGAGCTGTCTTCCCAGAGATTCTCTGGAAGAATCCTGATTGTATAGAGAGGATACAGCAGCCTTTTGTGGGGTCCTAGAAATAAGCCTATTTCCATTCTGTGCATTCCCTCATGGGGGCACAGTAAACCCCATGCCACCACTGCTGACCTGGCTCTCCCATCTCCTCCCACTAAAGACCAGCATTTTCTGCAGGAATTCCCACTGCTTGCTGCCTTCCTACCAGCAAGACTTCCTTCCTCCACGTAAGCACAGAAACATCACTATAAGATGCCATAACTTTAACTGCCATACTTTTCTGTTTCTTCTACGTGTAAAAATATGTATTTCTGAAAATGGAGGTGTATTTTTCACAGGACCTGTCCCTTCTGTTCCTCTCAACTGAAAAGGGTGTAGGGGTGTCTAACTCATGGCCCGCAGGCCAGATGAAGCCCAGGGTGGCTATGAATACAGACCAACACAAAATCATCAGTTTACTTTAAATGTTGTAAGATATTTCTGTGATTATGTATCATAATGTATTTAATGTGTGGCCCAAGACAACTCTTCTTCCAGTGTGGCCCGGCGACGCCAGAAGGTTGGACACCCCTGGTTAGGGGACAGTGTCTGTGGCTAGAGAACAAAGTACTTGGACCCAAGGGACTCAAAGTTCATCAACTAGGCTCCGCAGCCCTGTTCCCCTAGAGCTTTAAAATATATACCAAACCAGCAGGTTCAAATCAGGCAAGCTTCCAGTGTAAAGAGCAGAAACACAGCACGCGTGCTGATGACAGAAATCAATTATTGCCCACTGATCTGCTGGGCAACCTGGCCGTCAGGGCACATTCCCTTAGCTCCCCCTCAAAACAACCTTGGTCCCTGCAGTATTATTCTATGTCACACAATCCATGTTCCTGCTCTTCGTGTGACTTAAAATCACTGTTTTAAGATCTTTGTAGGAGCCAACGTAAAGCTCTTTTCTGGTTCCAGAGGCCTATTCCATGGAAAAACCTCTAGTTCCTCAGGGATGGGAAACAGATTTTCAAATACCCAGAGCTTCTGTTAGTTAAAAAATAATAATAATAAAAAGAATTCTAAGACTCTACTTAATTATAAGCATGATTAACTATTTGGGAGGGAACTCTAGACTGATGCTTGCAACTTTGACACACATAAAAAAAATAAGATGAGCTGTTGGATGGTTAGACTTATGATAAAATCCGGTAAAATGTTATACATTCTAGATGGTGTTCTATAGGTGTTCACTGTAAAATTTCTTTAACTTTTCTATATGTTCGAAATTTTTCATGAGCAGAGAGCAAGGCAGAGCTGGCATATCTCTCCCACCCAACTCTTAGGTCAGCCCTGAGGGAAGAAACAAAATACCAATACACACTTGCCTAGGCACTGCCCTACCCAGCCGCGTGCCCCAGAATACAAACAAAACTGGTATAAATGCTATACCCCACGTCCTCCATCCTCCTCACTCCAGGATAGAGGTTCTCAGCCTCAGGTACGCCTGAGCATTATCTGGGAAGCTTATTAAATAGTGAGTCCTGGACCACAAGCCATAACCTCTAGGAGGAGGCCCCAGGAATTGGCCCTTTTAACAAGGGACTCCGTCATTCTCATGTAGAAGATCTTCGGCCCACTCTTGGAGAAACTTAGGGCTGCTTGCTCCTTACCTGACACCTGTTGAAGGGCCTCCTGGGAACATTTAGAGAAAAAGACAAATACACACACATCCGTAAGAGTCAAGTGCCCAAACCCAGGTTCTCATGACGCTTGAGGTAGCTGTACCAAGACCGTAGATGGCAATGAAGCTGGGCCTAAAGCCAGGCCAAGTCACTGCCTCCTAACCTGGTCCTGGCACTCGCGGCCGACAGTGGGGTCACCAAGGAGCCCAGCAAGAACTTTTTCATCACAGGGACCCTCCTCACAATCTCCTTTCCTTTAGAAAACGGAAAACGGCTACCGCGGAAAACCGGACATGGTGTTTCCCCAGCCTTCCTTACAACAGGATGTAGGTGCTGTGACAAGCGGGGAGCCGGGGCCGGCAGTCCCCCGTGGCACCGAGTCTCTCAGTCCGTCCCGGCCTGGCTGTCACTGCAGCCCCGCGGGTGGCCAGCCGACCCAGCAACAGCACGTCAAAACCCCGAGGACCTCTCTGGATCGCATGAGCGTCCTGGGAGCTAGCGACAGACCCGCTGCGCCGACCCCAGGGTCCCTTTACCTCGAGAGAACGGGCATCCGAGTCCGAGCAAAGCCGACAGTGGCCAGGTCCAACCGCTCAGGGGACTAGACCCTTAGCTCCGTGGGGCTTACGCGCACACCGCCCACCGCCCGCCCAAAGGCCTCTGGGAGATATAGTCCAACCGTGCGCCCCAGGCGCAATCTGCGCACCAAGGGGACTACAGCGTCCACTATGCACCGGGCGAGGGCTGCGGGCGGGGGCGATCAAGGGGGTCCGCGGTCCTAGGTCATCCCCTCCCCAAGAGGGGCACGAGCGCTCAGTCCTGCTCGCGGGGAGCCCCAGCAGAAGCCGACTCGGAGGGCCCAGATGACTCACCGTTTCCCTGGCTCGTGCGGCGGCCGCAGGAGCAGGAACGGCGACCTCCGCAGGTCGTCGCCGCGCGTGTGTCCTCGGGCAGGCAGGCAGGCTTTGGATGAAGGCCGAGGCTTGTGGCGTCACGGAGAGGGGCGGGGCCATGAAGTCAACGAGTGGGCGGGGCTGGGGCGACGAGTGCCAAGCCCTGACGGCGTCAGGAGCGCTTCTCCCGCAATAAACAAGTAGGAGAGACTAATGGGCCTCTTACTCTAGTGAGAGAATGACTGGAATATAGGGGAAAGAACATATTAGCTCGCCCTGTTAACCATGCGAGCACGAGGGCGTTCATCAAAGGAAGCGTACCTTCCTTTCTCCGGGCTGTGTTTGACTTTAGGCGCTATATGTTCTGTAGACATGCGTAGAATGGAAAAGATTTTTGTTGCCTGATGTGCACTTTCCCAGCTGAGATTAATAAGGCAACACTCTTATTGTTTCAGCCCTAATATTGGAAACGAGAGGCTTTCTGTGTATGTTTAGTGCCACATGTTTTTCTCATTCTAATGCTTCTTGGTCGATGATCTTTTTAAATAATTTCTTTTTTATTGTATTTTTTTTTCCCATTACCATTTATCTCCCTTATACTTCTTCAACCTCCACCGACCCCCACCACTACCCCTTATCGGAGCTGCCAGCCTGCTCTCTCTGAGTCAGTCACTATTTTGCTGTTTAAAATAGCTCCCAAGCATATTGCTGAAGTGCTGCCTAGTGTTCTAAGTGCAAGAAGGCTGTGATGTTAGAGAATGGGTGTGTTAAATAAGCTTCCTATGGGTATGAGTTCCATTGAGTCCGGTGTTACTGAATCGTTAATGTATATTAAACAGGTGTCTAAATAGAAACACTCATAAAACATGGTTATGTATTGATCCACATGCAAGTGTGACCAAAGGCTGGCAGGAACCTTACCCTGTATTGTCGTTCAATATTTGCTAACTCAGTGTTTGTGGCAAATTCATGGACCATAGTCACTAATAATGAGACTCAGCTGCACTTGATTCGATTGACATTTTAAAGAATCATTCTGATTGCAGTGTGAAGAATGGTTTATACTAAGAGAAGCAATTAGGAAGCTGGGAGATCAGCACATATGTGATTTAATTTTTTGTACTCTCCACATTTAAAAAGGTAAAAAGAAAGAAGTGAGTTAAATTTAAGTAACATACATATTTAGAAGATTTTATTTATTTATTTTTAGAGAGGGGAAAGAAGAAAGAGAGGGAGAGAAACATCAGTGTGTGCTTGCCTCACAAGTGCCCCCTGCTGGGGTTCTGGCCGCAACGCAGGCAGGTGCCCTGGCTGAGAATTGGACCAGCCACCCTTCGGTTTGCAGTCCAGTGCTCAATCCACTGAGCCACACCAGCCAGGGTGAATTTAAGTAATGTTAATTTAACCCCAAATATGCAAAAATACTGTTTTAATATTTAATCATATAAAAATCATCAGAGATATTTTACATTCTTTTCCCACACTAAGTCTTTGAAGTCCAGTGTGTTTTTAATACTTACAGCACAGCACATCTCATTAGCCACATATGGCTCGTGCCTACCATATTGGACAGTGCATATATAGAACATGCATTCCTTTACTCATTCAACCAAGCAAGTTCTTGTTCTGGAAATATACAGAATGGAATAAATCCCAATATCTGTTCTCAAAGTGCACACAGGCCAGTTAAGGAGACTAATATAATAACTTGTGCTGAAGACTTCAAAACAAAGTGTTTTGAAAGGTCAAGTAGGGAGTACCCATAGGAGGAAGGCTTCAGAGAGAAGAAGGACATTGAAGGTGGGGCTTTAAGGATGTGTAAGAGTTCTGTGAGGAAGGGCACTCCAAGCAGAGAGAACTGGTTATGAAAGTCAAAGAGAAATGACACACAGGGTGTCTCTGGGGAAATGCAAACTGTTCTTTATGGCTGGATTGTAGGGTATGAAATAGGAGGATAGATGAGGGTCTTATAGGTCAGTCTATGGAATGTAGCATTTATCCTGTATAGCAGTGATGGGGAATGTTGAGACTTTTAAGCTGAGGGATATGACCAGATCTGTATTTTAAGCAGACTATTCAGGCAGTGTGAAAAGGGTAGCAATAGGAGGTGGGAAGACCCATTAAGGAAGAGAAGGGATTCTGGAATACATACAGGAAACACATGCAGAGACAGAGAAGAGGGTCAGAGAAGAGGGAAGGCAAAGAGTGGTCCACAGTGTTGCATGCAGTAGAGGTCAAATAGAATAGAACATGCAAGCCTTACCACCCCAAAAACTGGGTAAAAATTAGCTGACCCTCCAGAGTCCACCAAATAGCAAAAGGTTTGGGAGCCAGTGGGAGCCTAAAGTTTACTGAGATGGAACTGGGTTCAGGTCTTAGGCCACATCACTGTATGGCCTTGTTAAAAAATACTTATGTTTTCTAACCCCAAAATGGGGATCAAGATAATGCCAGCTTTGTAGGGCTGTTATAAGGATGGAACGGCTTCCTGCAGTTAGGTCACTTTACGTGGTTAGGTCGCTTTACATGACATGTGCTGGCACTCAGTGCAAATGGTAGCTCTATCATTATTTGCTTTACTTTGAGTGCTCTGGGCCTCAGCTCCCTCAAAAAAAAAAAAAAAAATGGAGCTGCTATCTCCTGCTTGCTGTTAATAGGAATCAAAGAATAAATGAGATTGTTGAACTGTATTTGCATTTAAAGCTAAAGTCAAATGTTCCTCAAAAGGTTAAACATTACTTTCCATGAACTATCCTCCTAGGAATATGCCCCAGAGAATGGAAACATGTACACATGAAAACGCTTTGACAAATGTCGGCAGCATTTGTTCACATTCACTAATGCCAAAAAAGTGGAAACAATCCATCAACTGGGATCTATCCATAGAATGACATATTATTCAGCCATAAAAAGGAATGCGGCTCTGACACATGCAACAACATGGATGAAACTTGGAAACATGATGCTTGGTGAAAGAAGCCAGGCACATAAGACCACATATTGTATAATTGTATTGAGATGAAGTGTTCAGAATAGGCAGATCCATAGAGACAGAAAGATGAGTCGCTGCCCAGGACTGGGGGAATGGGGTAGGGGAGTGAGGGTTTTTCTTTTGGGGCTGATGAAAATGTCTAAAATTGATTGTCATGATACTGGCACAGCTCTATGAATATATTAAAAGCCTTGACTTGTATACTTAAATGGGTAAATGTGAATTAAATCTTAAGCAGTTACCAAAAATTAAAAAATAAGGAGAGGCTATAGCCAAAACTTGGAAGAATTCAGACAGATAATGAAGCAACAAATTAAAGGCAGGCATCTCTGTGCAGAAACTGGGTTGGTCTTATCAGTCCTGTTTGCTGTAACAAGGTTCCTGGAGCACATCCGAGACCAGGAGTCTACGACCGTCCCAGGAGGTGTCATTGGCAGTCTTGCAGTGCAACTGCTTGTCTCACCTTTTTCGGGGGAATGTTCACGTTCTGCAGACACCTCCCCTCCACATAAATGTACACATGTGGCTCCTGCAATGTCACCTGCCTCCTCCCTGGTCTCCAAGACTCACACCTCTACTACAAAACCAGCTGCCCTTTATTTTTAGTCCAGATTTTACCATAATTGAAATAGCTGGAACACTTTTGACCCAACATGTCTTCAGTGACAGGTTTCTTTGCACCTGGTGGCCCCTGCCACCAGTGCATCCTTGTGGTGCAGGATGAACACCTGTTGCCTTCAGTGGGGCCAGCCCATGGGGTTCCTGAGAGCTGTTTGCCTCCCAGGTTGTGCAGAAAACAGCCCAAAGGTGGGGAAAGAGGGCCTTCTTTCATCCTCTCTGCAACCAGTGCCATCTGCTGGCAAAATGGTGGTGCAGGGGACGTGGAAAATACTTCTGTTTGTCTTCCCTACTTGGAGCCTGCATTACAAAGTGCTAGGGATAATGTTCATCCCCCTAGTTTAGTTCTCTTAGGCGAGAGTAAAATTAGGCCTTATTTCTACATTGAGACCTGTAAGGAAAAGGGCATGTATTTTAAGTGTTGAGCTTGATGCATTTTCACGAACCTCACTTGTTAGTACAACCAGCACCAGGTTAAGGAGACAAAGTTTGACCACACCCCCAGCAGCCTCCTCTGTACCCCCTTCCACTCACTGTCCTCCCACAAGGAGTCACCGGACTGACTTGTAAGAGTGGATTTGTCTCCCATGTTTTTGTGTGTTCTGTTACAAGTTGGAGGCAGTTGGAGCATATGCCGTGCAGCTTTTGTAATGCAACATCCCAGGTGACTAAAGGGATTCTGTCGATTAGAGCAGAGCCTGAGCATCATGAAGGATACTGCTCTTTCTCTCTCCTCACACAATCCTCTGCCTCCTCCTTAGCTCCCTCCTTTATCAAGCTGATTTATCATTGGCTTGAAGGCGCAAATGAAATCATGTAATCATTTTGGAAGTTACCGTTAACATTCCTGAGCACTTACTTTTTGCCAGGCACCAGGATAAGCACTGTATACCTTCTTGATTCCCACTAGGAGCCTATGCACATTTACCTACAGCTGAATGGAGGATGTAGCATGCTTAGAGTTGCAAAGCCAGCAGCTACCAGACCCCAGCTCTTGTGATCCTAGGCTGACGATCGCCTCACTACCCGAGCTGCTCTCCAAAGCCAGTATGAGTCAGGGCACATGAGGTGGGAGAGGAAACTCTCACATTCAGTCCGTTCTTTGCAAAAATCTGTCTTTACACCCAGCACAGAACAGGAAGGTAGCCCACCA